AAAAAATATATCATAACTAATAACTCTATACTTTATATATGAAAATATATATATATACTTATTTAAAAATATGTTTCAACTCGTCACAAATCTTAATTTATCAATTTAAATAAATATATATACATATATGATACATATATATATATATATATATAATCAATCAAACCAATCGAACATCAATCAATTTAGTATACTCGGCATGAATCTATTCGGATGTAAATTCTGCGAAAACGTTAACGATGAAAGAGTATGCGATCGTAAGAATTTCGACAGCCTGCTGTGGGCGCTCGTCACTGTGTTTCAGGTAGAATTTGCTAGAAAAATACCATTATAACTATAAAATACTTAACAACTTTAACTACTACTACTACTATAACTATTACTATGACTATTGCTCTATTTTGTTTGACTAACTAATAACTAATCTTATGCATTTTTTTTACAAATATGTATAAAAATTTAGTAAGGAAAAAACGTATATTATAAAAAATGTTTATTAAAAAAAAATACAAAATATTTAAAATGTGAATTGCTGTGTTATTTTATGTTGTGCTCAAATAGCGAGAACAGTAAAAAAAACAAACAAAATGTTACTATAATAATTTTTAGTGCATACCTAATATTTTATTTATATTATTTTCATTAAATTTTTTTGCGAAAACTAATTTTTAATTTATTTGCCGCTGTTTTGCTATTTTAATTTTATTTTTTTGCGAAAAATAATTTGGTGCTTCTTTATAGAAATATAACTTAAAAAAAAATGTATATAAATTTTTTATAGCCTTGCTAGACATTTAAGTCTTTCTTATTTATAAAATATTTCGGAGAATTTATATAAAACAAAATTCATAATTTATGAAAGATAATTTTTACGAAAAATAAATTACTTTTTTATAACATTTAATTGGCTGTAAAAAATGTAAATAAAATAAATATTGTTTGTAAAAAAATTTGTAAAATTATTTTTTTTTAAAATTTGTATAAAATTTTTTTTTTGAAAAATTTAAAAAAAAAATTCTTTTTTGTTTTTAATTTTTTATAATTTACTAAAAAACAGTTTTGCTTGCGCTGCGCTATTTTCTGCATTATTTTTCACAATAAAAAAATTATTTTTGTGGTGTGTTGCGTATAAAAACATTTTCAGAACATTTCGAAAATTACAAATAGACACAAATTTTATTTAATTTTTTTACATATAAAATTTTTTGTATGTGAGTATATATGTACGTATAAATATTTGAAGCCATGCTAGCAAATTAGTAATTAGTAAAAATTTAAGAATACTTAGTAGCTAGCGAAACATTTCCATTAGAAACTTTTAGTATAAAAAATAGCAGTATTGCTATGTTAGGTATATCTAGTACAACACAAGTTTCTGAATTACAAGAATGAATTGTTTGTATTCCGCGCATGGTTTAGTTATTGCGTATGTTTTTTCTGAGACGACAGTTAGTTGTTAATAAAGAAAGTGCGACAGAAAGGCTAAATCTACCACAGAATCAACAGGTAAGTCTTTTTAACATTTTTTCATTTCGCATGCATGCATGAGCCCTTGTAAATAACTCAAGCTTCTTCACATATTCACTCACGCCAATATAACTTTTTTGAGAACATGCTCCTCATTTAATCAAAAGTCTCAACAGTTCACGGAAAGAAGTGCTTAAACCGAATTTGTCTGAAAAAGTCTCCACTAAACCCAAAAGATTTACACTCAACTCAAAATATAACTTTGTTGTGGAAAAGACTCACAAAATATTTGAAGTTCTAGTAAAAACACACCACCCGAATTTGAATTCTCTGAAGTATTTTTTGCTCTAAATGCATAGTTCTACTAAAAATGTACAATTTTTCAGAAAAAATATATAAATACTCAAATTAAACTTCACTAAATTTTTTACTTTGAATACTTACTTAAACTACGAATCGCCAGCGATTTCAGTGATCCGCTATCAAGCCTTCTTCTACGGATCTATTAGGGAAATAATGGAACTAAACTCAATCTTTAACTCAATCCATAAATATAGCTGCAAGCAGGTTCTCTTTCTCTCACTCTCACAAGCGTACTATCTTCAAATGCTAGCCAATCAGCATACCGCGCTCATTTTGTCAACCAATCAGCGGACAGTACTTCGCAGTCACTCACCTAATCACTAAAACACTTACACTCATTGCTTGACAAATATTTTTATGCACGACTTTATTGACGTTTCTCAAGCCGCACGTTTTAAAATTATATAACTACAACAGCATTTTGTATATCACTCGCTTACTCATTACACTAAAATTGCTGACATTTTATTCTCAACTTGTGTCTTAAAAACTCAGACTCGCACCACGCTTAAAACATGCTATAAAATCTTTGATACTTAAACCAAAAACAACTAAATGCGCTCTTTAAAACATCAGTGTGTTTACTTTAAGCTCTTTTTATTATCTTGAACACTCTTTTTTGTATCTAATTGTCTGTTTTGAATTACTTTCTAATGCTCTTAAATAATTTTGAAATTCTTTATCAGAATCCACTTCTAATATCCACTTTACTCTAAGTACTAATTTTTAAGATCACTTATACGCTCTTGCTCACAAATACCCCAAAAAGAACAATGCCACTATATCAAACAAATTACAGTGTACTCTTACTTTTAACCTACCTCACTTCCTGACAAATGCTTTTCTCTCACCCAAACCCAGCGTTCACAGTTTAGTTTTCTATCCACAGAACTACTCACTGATACACGCTCTAACTCGCTCTCTTCTACTTACGCGCTTTTCACCCACTCTAACTTGTTTCCACTCAAAAAATAATTTTTAAATTGAGTAAAGATTAAAAACAATACACTTCAGTACTAAATTTATGCGCTCTTTCAAATTTTATTTCAAAGTTTATTTGAATTTTTATTTTTCTCACAAAAAAGTTATAAGAACACACAATTATTTCAGACAAACATTTGTAAATCCTACGCCAAGAAAGAATAGCTTTTTGTAAATAACTCGCAAAACAAGTTTTAGGAAAATTTTTTCCTCAAATCATTGAATCTGAATTTTTTGCTTAAGTTTTTTTATTAATGTTTCGAAAATCATGTATAAAACGTATATATTATATATCTGCCAAATAGCTGTAAATTAATATACATAAACGTATTTAAAGTTACGAAAATACAAAAACAATACAAACAAATATACACAATTAAGAGTTTTAGAACAAAAACAACAACAAAAATATTATCGAAAATACTTGAAAAACAGAAAGTAGGAACGAGAATACACCACAATTTCCTTCAATACCCCAAACAAAGTTCCCCAAAATTTTTCCATACATACAAATATTTAAAAATAAAGTAATATTAAAAATTTTATACCTTCAACTTTCTAAAGTTAAAAAAAAATTCAAAAATTATATGTAATTAAAACAATTAATTTAAATATGATTTTGATTAAAACCAAATATTAACATACAAAATAATATACGTTTATAACTAAACGAGCTGAGAAAACAACAAGTAACTCAAAAACTTTTTTTCTACATTCCGAAAAAATTATGAATTTTCGAACTTTAATAAAAAAAAATTGGAACAAAACTCTCAAAAATACTCAATAATGTTGCAAAAAAAATTTAATTGTGAAAAATATATCAAAAAGTATCCGCCTATATTGAAAAAATGTCCAAAAACCTAACTTTTGAAATTTTCTTTAAAATAACAACAAATAATTAAAAAACAACATCCAAACAGAAAGTCCTAAAAATTGTGATACTTGAAATATTGGAATATTACTGAAAATAATTTGGATAAATAATTCAAATAATCGAAAGCGACGAACCTTTTTAAAAACAATAAGATCGGAAAAATTTACTTAAAATAAATAAAATTAAAAAAAAAAAGAAATTGATACATAAAAACACTCACTCCAAAAATATTTTTCAAATTTTTACAAATCAATTTAAAAAAATTTCCTAAAAATATAAATAAAAAATATGAAAAGTAAAAAAAAACGGTCAAAAAGACAAATAAAAAAATATCAGAAATAAATATTAGAAATTAAAAAGAAATTAACAAAACTATTCTTCAAAATTATTTATTAAAAATATACAGATAAGATGAAAAACTTCCCATCCATTTAAAACAAAAAAAAATATTTTAAAATAAAAAATTTTTAACGACATGGAGTCTAAAAAACTCCAAAAAACAATCCGCAACATTCACTCAAAACAAATATAAAAATTTTCAGAATTTAAATTTGAAAAAGAAAATTAACATATAAACAAACTAATAAAAAAGCCCTAAAAAACTAAAATGCACTGTCCACCCCAAAAACACCAAAAAAAAATTTCAACATTTAAAATTAAAAAAAAAATTAAACACAAAACTCAATATTCCACACACAAAATGGTGTAAAAAAATCAAAAAAAAATTATATTATTCAAATGTTAAAACATTAGAAAAAAATTGAAATAAAAAAATACTGAAGGAAATATATATAAAAAATTTAAAAACAAAAAATACTAATAAAAACATACAGCTCCCATACAATTTTCATTTTTTTTAGTAAAAAGATGCCTAAAAAATTTTGCTATTCCAACTCCCTTTGCTTTATTATTTATGTACATATATAACACCAAATTTTATTTACTTTTGCTGTGTATACAGCTTAAACAAACCAAACAAGCAAATACAACAATATACATAGCATATACCTATTATATACTACATAGATATAAATAAATATGTATACAGTGAACATTATTTTATATAAATACATATATATATATATTTATATATGTATATATATATATATAAAATGTATATAAATTACTAGCTATGATTAATTCATAAACTACTTACTCTTACAACTACTTTTATACTCTTACTCGTATAAATATATACAAATATACATATATATATATATATATAAACTTAACACAATTAAAAAAACTCCCTTATATTTATATATATATATAAATATATACATATATATGCATATACTCGTGTGTGAACCTACAGCATATTGGGCATGTATCTATTTGGCGGTAAGTTTTGTAAATTTGTGGACGATACTGGACTCGAACGTGAATGTCTGTGTACCGAAATAATCAACAAACATCCACAATGTGAATGTGATCGCAAACACTTCAACAACATTTTATGGGCCACTGTTACAGTCTTTCAAGTAAGAACAACACACCAAAACGTTTAATACTTAAATACTCAAAAAAAAAACACAACTTGAAAAAGTCACGTAACTTCACCCACCCACTTACCTACCTATACACTCAAATACTACTTTACTGCAAACAAAGCGAAACTTTATCTCTCACTAAACAAAAAACTAAAGAGAAATATTTTTACACATATACAATAAACAAATAATATCACTAAGTAGTGAAACTTTCAGTTTTCTTTCCATTTTTAAATAATTTTCGTAATAAATAGTTAAATTTAGACTCAGCTCTGATTTGTAGTTTTCTAAATTGTACTATATACACATATATACATAAATATATAAAACCAAATTAACAAATTTTAATTCAAATAATTTGCTATGCAACCTTTGCTCTCACTATAAAATTTTTGTTGAAATAATGAAATTAATTTAACTAATTTGATCATTTTTCTTTACATATTTAGAATTTGTTGCCTACATGCAGGCGCAAAGTCAATTAATTATACACAAGCGTTACGATGTTATAATTTTATATGATTTTTTGCTAATATTACAATTATTTGAAATATTTTTTTTTATAACATCAAAATATTTGGTTTTTTACCACAACAAAATTAAATATATGCCGTTGCGTACTTGTAAAGTAAATATTTCAAAACAACCATGATATAAACTTTAAAAGTAATATTACACACAATTTTAAAATTAAGTTAGTATTAATTATATTAATAATATATTTTAATTTTATATATTTACAATATTATTTAATTTGTATTTTGATATTATAATAATATAATTTAGTTTTAGATTATTATTTATATTTAATTTACTTAATTAATCTAATTTTCTATATTTTACACGATTTTTGTTTCTCATGTCTTTTTTAATCTTTAAAACGGAATTTTATTTTTAGCTTACTATTTTACATCTATAAACTTTTACTTTAATTTACTAATTTTTAATTTTATTTATAAAAAAAATTATATTTATTAATTAACTTAAAAACTTATTAGTTTTACTGCCAAAAACTCTTTCAAGTTTATTAAATCTTTCCATTTACTTTTATGAAAAATACTTTATTAAAACTTTTTTTAATTAGTATTTATTTTATATTTTTGTGTCTTTTTAATTTAATATATTTAAAACAATTTTTTTTTATTGTATTTTCAACTTTTTAAAAACAGAGTATTAGTTTTTGATCACTGTTTACTGTATATCTATAAAATTCCACTTGAATTTTGTAATTTTCAATTTTATTTATAAAAATTATTTTTATTATATTGATAGTTTGACTAATTTAACACATTTTATTTATCGTACAAAATATATTAGTTTATTGTAGAATTTTAACAAAATAAATTAATTTTTTTGTTTATTTTATTTTATTCAATTAATGTATTTATTTTATTTTATTTATTTTATATTTGTTAATTATTTTATTTTTTTTAGTTTTAGTTTTTTTTTTTATTTATATTTTTTATACTTTGTTGTGTTACAAAAATTGTATTATATTTAATATTTAAATTATTTGATTAAATTTTATTATAATATATAATTTTTAAACAATTTATTTTTCATTTTTTTCTTGTCTAATTTCTAAATATTTAAAAAAAACGTTTTTTCTTATATGTTATTACAATAATTATAATTAATTGTTTTTATCCACTTTCATTTCCATGAATTTATTTTTTTATTTACTTTGCTCTCGTTTTATTTTAAATTTTAAGTTTATTTTTTATTTTTTTATTTTTTTTACCTTAATTTAAATTCTATTTAAAATATTTAGTTGTATTTTAATTATATTTTCCTTTTTCTCTAGGCTCCAAACATTATTTAGTTATTATATAAAATTTTATTATAAAATAATTAATAATATTTAACTATAAATTTCTAGCACAATTTGATTATTTTGCAATAAAAAATTAGTTTCAAATGAAATTTATTTGCATTACATACACATTATTTAGTAGTGTGGTTACTAGTAACGCAAAATTTTGGAAGTAGCACCTGTTTTTTCTTTCATAAAGACGTCACAAGAAAGCGTTCACACGAGTCGAACGATATACATAACTACAAACATAAGTACACAATTACAATATTAGTGAATCAAAATTAATTACAACTATGTACATAAATAAAATCAACAAGAGAAATAGATTTAAGATAAATTGAAGCATATATCTCTGTAATTCCGTTATACTTGTATAATCATGTAAAATATCACTATTTCAAATACTCAAACCCCCCATTACTTAAAGTAATCGTATTAATTGTAAAAAAGGCGGCAATCATTATCTATGACATAGCAATTACTATTCAAATACCCATTAATTAAATGACAAGATAATTACTTTCATAACTACATAGATCATTCCATTACCAGCAATATTAAAAATAAAAGTGAAATAGTGTTACCATAAGAATAATACCTTTCTATTACCAACACATTATATTCGCATCTGCATCGCTCTTCATTATTCAAACCTTTAATCCTGCAATCAAACTCTAACTATTAGTCATTATTATATTCACTAAAATGCATTACCAAAAATATTACTTTTATTATTACCTAGGTCATTATGAATTCCATTACCAGTACTGTAAACAGTGCAAATGAAATGAACATTATCGTAAGCATATCATTTACTCAGTACCGCATAAGTTTCGTAATAAAGTGGATCGATTGCGTTCTCAAGTGGATTAGAACTACTTGAGTATATCTAAAGAACAGCAGGTACCCAATTTGCTAACTTTTCGAGATCAGGCAGCATCTGCTAAATCTCTAGTTCAATATTGGTTTCATATTTCACATTACAAAATGCCATTACCCATTTTTTAGAACCATTACTTTTAGCAGTACCATAATCATTGCCTCGCATCATCATTAATGAAACTACCGTTACCTAAATCACTACCATTGCGATCACTGATCTTCAAATTAGTAGTTATAAGATTTTAAATACCGTTATCATTACAATTATATTACCGTTACAGTTACAGTTAACCGTATAAACACCAATTTGTGCCAATTAAAATAATAATTATAATAATTTACGAGTTTACATATCACTGCGTTCTCTTATCGTTATGCGGTTTTATACTTTTTTACATTTACCGTTAACTAATATAAATTTTGAAATTGAAAGTTGGAATTACTATCGATCTCTTACTGTCTGTATCTGTTATGCTCACAGTTGATCACAGTTTCACAAATTAAAACTTACAAAAACGAAACCCAACTGTTTTTAAGCTTTTAAAGAAACTCTCTCTCTCTCTCTAAGTAACGGAGGTCTTAAGGTAATGTTAACTCGTTTTTATTAAATGTATATAACCATATAAGACAACAAAAAGAGTTTATAAAGTACATATTAAAAGCGCTCTACACAAAAATGTTTTTAAAGCTGTGCTTAAAAGCTACGCAAAACAGAAAAACTCAAAAAGCTCGTTTTTGGATAAACCAAAACACGTCACTATTAATAATAGTAGCGCTTCGCTACCACGTTATCAAAATTCAACAGAATATAACGATATTTAAGAATATATATAAATATATAGTACATACGAGTAGATAGGTCTAAACACCAAAACAATGACATTTCCGCTGAAAAGTGGCACACATACATACAAGTTGCGCGCTTTTTGCTGATTATTTTTTTCTAAACGCTCACTTATATCATATTATTTCGTGGAAATAGGTATAAGATTAATTTATTGGAATTTTAAAAATTTTTGCATGCATTCTTATTAAATTAAAAAAGTGTAGAAAATTTAATTTTAATAAGTAGATTTTGAAAATTTATTTTAGGTCTTAGGTTGCTCAGTAAAATTTATAATGCGCTTAAATAACATAAATAGCTTATTTAAAAACACTGAGAGAAATTTATAGTCACTTATGGTAAAATATATGTAAAAAAAATTCCTAAACGAAGCAAAAAATCTTTTATTGTTAATGAGTAAATACTTAGAACGCTCAACAGAAGGACTTTCATATATTACAAATTCTCTCACTAGCATTAAATTTTATAGTAATACTCCAGCTCACATATATCGGCACGTTTTTGAAACTCTCTAAAATTTTACGCAAAACAAAAATGTAAAAAAAATTAGCAACAAATTTGATTTTTAACATTTTATATATTTAGAAACAACACCACAAATGATAGATTTTTTATTTGCAGTAAGCAATTATAAAATAATTTGCCTTTGCTTTTTGACCAATTTTTTATTTAATTTTCGCAGTGTATTTTGCCATAATTTAGCATTATTTTAAGTTTTTAGGCATTTTAGTATTTCATTTTTAAATTTAGCTCGAAATATATAACCAAAAAACAAAATGTGTGCTTTTAAGCTTTTTAAAGCTACTTTTAATTTTAAAAAAAATATAATTTTCAGCTTCATAGCGCTTTAAGGCTTAAAAGTATTTATATATTTATTTTAATATTTTGCTATAACTGTAATTTTGGCACTTTATTGTGACGTCTTTTCAGTTTAAGTTGATTCTAAGAAACACTACACTCAAAAAAATGTATTTTCCCAATTAAGTTTTAATTTAATTTTTTTTTTTACGAAAGATTTTTGCAAAATGCTAATAATTTAAAAAAATAAACACAAATAATAAAATTTGTATGCGAAAATGTCGGTACTATTTTTCAGGTGTTAGATAATATAAAAAATTTATTTTGCATGCCACTCCAAAAAAAAATATATTGAGCAGATGTAGACTATACAGCCTAACAAAAGTCTTTTTTTATTCAAAGAAAATATTTAAAAAAGAATTACAGCTGCAAAGTTTCGGCAATATTTCGGGATTTCGGAAAACACTTTTACCTAATTATATCCGTTGTATTAATATTCAGTGTTGTTAAATAAATGTGAAAAAATAAATAATATTTATATATCTATATACATATATTTTACAAAACAAAAATTTTCGATTTTTCCAATTTTTTCTAAAAATTATTAAAAAGCTGTGCCATTTCGAAAAGTACCACTTAATTTAAAAAATGCATCATCGTGCAGTATAATTACATATACGAACATATTTTCGTAATAAAATATTTTCGGGATTTTTCGGCATTACGCAATAAGTTCTTCGGTACACACGAAAAAAAAGCTAGTATATAGGAACTCCTTTAAAAAATTTACTTATATTTTTTTCTTACGTGAAAATCCCGAAAATATGCATACACTAGAAATACGTAGTGTCGAAAGGCAAAAACTCCGTTTTACGTAAGTTGTTATAATAAAGTTATGAAATATTGCTTAAACTGCATTTCTCAGCTGCGACAGTATTTTCATACTCTATTTTAAAGCAATTTAATCTGCGGGATATGTTAAAGAGTCTAAAATTTATCTGCAGGCAAGTGCTGATACCGAATTTTCGGGACTTATTATCGGGATTTTGTGAATTTATAAATAATTTTTTCATAAATTTTCATTAATCCCGAAAAATAATTTTAGCTATAAGCTTTAGAATTTAACTGCATGCAAATACCGATATCGAAATTTTGGGACTGATTAACGGGATTTGCAAAATTTACATCAATATATGTACATATGTATGTATGTAGTTTAGTGAGTATTTCAATTAATCTCGAAAAATGATTTTAGCCATTACTTTTTTTTTCTAATATATAATATATAAAAATATGAAAAAAAATTAGCACCAAACGCTTTGCAGAAATCTTGATATATATAAAATTTTTAATTAAAAAAATTATTTTTCTATTTATTTTATATTTATAAGTGTGTGTATTTTTGTATGACTGTTTGTTTTAATTAATTTTTATTTACTTAATTACTTATATTTTATTTAAATATTTATTGTAAATACTTAAATAAATTAATATCTTTCATTATTGCGCATATAAAAAAATATTTAATTTTTGTGCTTTTCTTTGTATTTTTTTTACTTTGTACAACACTTTCCTTTACTTTTCATTTCCTAGTCGTGTCTGTTAGCCTTGTTCCGTTAAATATACTACATTTTTATTCCAAGTGCATTTGCTAATACAATTTTCTTTATTTGCTTTTGTTCTCTCTTCAACAACACTACGCGCTTGTAGATTCTAACGCAGGAGGATTGGAATGTCGTACTGTTCAATGGCATGGAAAAGACAAGTCATTGGGCCGCATTATATTTTGTGGCGCTGATGACATTCGGCAATTATGTGCTATTTAATTTATTGGTCGCCATTTTAGTTGAGGGATTCAGTTCAGAGGTAGAGTTTTGCAAAACAAAAATTATTTACAAAAAAAAAAAAAAAAACACAAAAAAAAAAATTAAAAAAAAACCGAAATAAATTTGAAAAAATTGGTTAACAAAAAAAAATATTTCAAAGCTAGAAATGTTACTTCCTTTCTAAGAAAATACATTTTTTTCAAATCGCCGGTGCTATAAATAATTTTCCACATAATTTTTTTTCCCACAACAATGCATGGCTTTGGCAATTTTTGGCTGCAACAATTTATTTAATACGAATATTTACGCACTTAAAATATTAATAATAATATACACATATATAACTGTAAAAAATATATATATTTATAACTAGCAACCCGCTTGGTCCACCGTATGTACGCCTTTTTCCCTAGCGCACCCAATTAATAGCTAGAGAAAAATTGTTTTGTGGAAAATTATTTATGCCAGCCAAGGTTCTGAACGCATTTCACGTATTTTATACGTAATGTCAACAACCCAACCGCCGCCGCGGTTTCGCGCGCCTGCTTTCAAGCCAAGCCCACATAAAACGCACACACGCTCAAGCGAAAGCTTGAAGCTTACCACCCTTAACTAGCTTACAATGAATATATATGGTATAAGTTTTATAAAAATGTATAACCACAATAAGCGTAACCCGCCCCCACCACACAGCCGTACCTTTCGACCCACCACCCAGAGCCGCGTTTATGCGTGTGTGCGTCTCAACTGTTTTTGGCGGCGCGTCGCGTTTGCGTGCGGCTGGCGAAAATTCTAATTCTTTGAATTCTCTGATTCCCTCAGCGAAATGAACGTCGCGAACGTGAACAACGTGAATTGGTGAAAAAATTGCGCGAAGAGACGTTGGCGGAGAATTTCAGCGATGCTATGTACGATGAATCGCGTAGCAGTGAAGCCGATTCATCATCGACTAATGAAAGTTACTATGAGGTACGAAATCGGTGGCATAGCGCCGAGGATGTGCGAAAAGTAAGTAGAGTTAAAATTTTAGATTTTACTAACCCGCTGTGAGTCTGTGAGAGCACGAATGCGAGAGAGATAGAGAGAAAGAGAAATGTGATATTTGAGAGAGAAGAAGAGAGAGTATGAAATATGAGACGAAAAATAGTCATAGAGATACATAATTCAAATTCATCTAACAAGAAAGTAATAATTACTTTACTCACACTAATCAAATAGTAATTAAACTTTTTACGTTCACTTAATTCGGTTAATAGATTTTTATCACACAATTTTCTATTTTCTATTTATTTCATTGTATTTTTAACAATTATATTCATTTATACACCGTTTGCCCTTTTCCTAAACTTCAAATTCATTTCTTTGTCCCGGTAATTATAACCAATTACCACCATATTTTCAAAATCACGCATATTTTCACACAATTATTTTCAAACTCAGACAAATTTTTTGATTTTGTACCTTTTATCACATTATCATCACATTATTTCATTAAATCCTTCTAATCTAAACATTTTTCTTATTATAACTCATTATTTTCACTCAAAATAATTACTCAATATTTCAGTCAGTATTTAAAAGCCATTTTTTAATTTTTCATGGCCACTCAATACATACTTTATACTTAACAGCCCTTTATTTACTTTATAATAAAAAAAACTCACTCATATTTAACACTAACAACACATGTAGTAAAAACTGTATACAATCGATTGTTTTAAATTGTCACTAAAATAACAAGTCAATTACAATTTAACAATTTTTTTAACTATCACTCATATTCTGAGTCATTATAACACTTCTACTCACTCGATTGAATTTGTATAAGACATAGAATTACGTTTTCACTCACGTATTTAGCCAAAATTACAATTTTACTCTTAATTTTAACTTCGACGACCATCACATAACTTTTGTTTTTTCAACAGTTAATTCAAGCTAGTCAGCGCTGAGAGCATAAAAATCTCATCTCAAACAAAAAATCTCATTTATTCCCTCAATATATTAGCACAGAATTCCACTCACTAGCCGCGACCAATAGCATAACGAGTTTGCTCTTTTAAAATTTTTACTCAAAGTAATTTATCTTTTGTCACGCGTTTCGCAGCTACAAGATGCAACCGAGCTGATTCTGGAAGCGAAAAGTAATATGCAAAAGCAACAACATCAACGTATGCTACTACAACCCACACAAGATTATCAAATCAATGAGAGTTATTTGAGTGGTGTTGGTGGTGGAAGCAGTGGTTCGGGTAGCGGCAGTGGGCGTAAATCCAGCGATAAGGATGGCAGTAGCAAATTGTTGATGGAGGATGACAAGAATAAGAATTTAAAAAAGGTAAGAAAAAAGTAGTTTATATATGAATAGTCTCTAAGGCATTGTCTTCTTACTCAATATTGGCACTCATATTGAGTGATTGTGCTTCATGTGTGTTTAAAGAAATATATCCACTTGCAAGTCAGAAAAAACGCATTGTGGAAAATTTAGATTTCCCCTGATCCCATAGCCGATCTCCATGAGAATGTTTTTTTTACAAAATAACAGCTTTCTAAATAAGTAATTTTTTAGTGAAAAAATATACTGGTTTAAAAAATCGAAACTACTCTCAAAAATCTTATTTCTTCAATTATTATCTGAAAAATATACCTACCGCGCTGAAAACTGCATTTCGAGAAAACGCTTTATCTTCAAAACTAAATATTTCGGAAAATATTTGCGAATATATTTATGTACATTTGAAACAAAAGCAAAAAAATAACTTTTTGAAATTCCCGAGTGGATATAACAGTACAACTCATAAATTTTATTCATGTAAAAATTCTTCACAAACATTTTACTCCACCCCTTCGCAGACATATTCCATAAGAGAGCGTCGCGGCGATGCACCACGCCTTTCACGTATACGCCCATTGCGTGAACCGCCCATAATTACTACGACCGCCGCAACGCCACAAGACTCGCCCAACACCACACTGGACGGCGGCATGAGCTTTCGCACTTGGAATCCGCAAGAAATGGAGACCACGGACAGTGGGGCTAGCAATCAGGTAAGTGTTAAGCGTGAGCGCCGGATATGCAGACAGTTTTATTTAGTGTTTAAATTTCCTAATTACTAAACGAAACAACAAAAGATGTGTAGCAATAAAAAGGTAAAGTAAAACCGAATTAATTTCAAATTGCTTTTGCCGCACAAAATGCTTTTAAGTTGAGTCTTGGTGCAAGCCTTTGATATTTGTAATGAAAGTGATCACGCCATTTTGCTGGTTTGCGTCTCTGCTAATACATTTTCTATAGAATATTGAGTATGCTTAATGTTTATTACATTTTACCAAGCCTTCCCACTTATAACGGCATTTATGCACTACTTCTTTATCTCACGTACAGTGCCCGGGTACGCCGTCACTACTTAGACCACCGACCATCTTCAGCGGCGGCCAACGCTCACTCGACGAGGGCATACCGTCAATTGATCTTATACCACCATCACCCGTATTAACGCACAAACCGTTGAATATACTAAACGCCAGCCAACTACAAGGAAGCAATACTAATCTAAGCAACTGTAATTTAGTATCTAACAGTAGTAGTTTACTCCCTAGTGCCCTAAGTAGCAATAATAGTATGCATAGTGTTGTCATAGATGATATTTCAAAAAATTCCGATGCTAGCGCCTCGGGTCCTATTTTTGTGCCAACAACCATCTCGACAGTGTCCACACCCAGCATGTCACTACCGGCTGGTATAGTCGCAGGCCCCGGCGCTGGTTCTACAAATGGCGGTGCTGGCGGTTGTGGTGGCGGCAACGCAGTGAGCAGCATCGAAATATCGCCACTGAATTCCGCCGTTGTCGCTACCACAGGTGCTATATCCTTAACGTCGACAGCTACTACTACAGCAGCGTTAGTAACGCCCCCAAATGCCTCACAAGCCAGCAGCATTGAAACGCCGCCCACACTGCCGTCAACCAACGCTTCAGCGACAATCAGCACAACGCTGTCCGGCATGCAACGTATACCGAGCTTAAAGCGTTTCAGACGTAACAGTTCGAAGCGTAAGAAGAAGCCTGCCGAAACCGGCAGTGGCGCCGAAGATGACGAACAACAGCAGCTAAACAATGGCAGTGACAACTCCTGTCTACTGGCTCCACATAGCAATGGCGGCGGCGGCGGCGGCGGCGGCACCATGCGTTCGGATGCATTTCTCAGTCCGTCGCGTACGCCGTCTGCGAGCGGCGCGACACTAACAGCCAACAATCAGACGAATCAGCAAAAGACGAAAGATACAAATCGACTTAGTCCACAAAACTCAATACGTCGTCTCTCCACAACACTTAGTATTGGCAGCATACCGCCGTTGGGTAGCCGTCGTGCCTCTGCGTGCATCTTTAACTCGCAGCTATATCAAAACCTGAACCAACCGCCCAAATTGTATGCGCCCTCAGCTGCACACCGGCGTATGTCGTCATTCGAGTTGGCCTTTAGCAAGAGTTCACAATTAAATTTGCATAATTTGGAGGCGAATCGCAAGTCAATGTCGTACACGAACTCCAAACTCGATTTGGATAAATGGCAGAATTCCTATATGAATCTGCCGGAGCCGGATATGTTGCAACAATATATACAGGAGCGTGAGAAGCGTAAGGGTTCTATTAGTCACTATTCGCGACAGCAGCAACCGCAGCACAAGCAACAAAAAGAAAGCGAGCTTGAAGATCCACAATATTTAAGCGCTGAGCAACATTCGCGTATGCAGAACTCTGGTCATATGAGTAAGCTAAAAATGCTGATCGAACGCTTAAAACCGACAAACCTCACAGAACAAAGAGAGTCATACTCGCTGTACATATTCGCGGAAGACAATAGGTAAGTGCTTTGATGAAAGGAGTTTGTTGTAACGGAGATTGTGGATTTATTTTTTACTGCATATAAGCAGCGTTGGTTGGGGCCCGCTGTCCTCTCCCACTTGCTTCAAGTATACAACCGTGATTTCTCATAGAGTTTTCAGAGACCTCAACGCATATGTAGCAAGATACCTTTGAGCCTACAAACGCAGTATGAAGCTCAGTTTTAAAGCAGAGAAAATATCAGATTGCCACCTTTTTTGTTTCCTCACACTTCAACTAAATATTTTCTATTATAAATAGTGCCTCAGTCTAACACTATTTTCTGAATTTCCTAAAATTGAAATTGCGCCCACTTATAAACCTATAAGAGCACTATGGGGCCTACAAAACACCCGGAGCTACATTATTCAGTCATTTGTTAAGCGCACGGACTTAGTCCGAATGAAGTAAGCAGTGCATACAGAATAAAGCTGTCTATAGATCTTATGAGGCCTAGCAATGCCGTCCTAGAGTAGGATTTTAAGGTTATACTTATAGATGTGAGCGTCTCGTTAGTATTAATAATAGGTTACTGTCTCGCCTGAAGCCATATTTTAGACCTGGACCGACTTACTAACGCAACGTTAGCAGTCTGTCTGTGGGAGTTTTAATTTACAACTATTTAACAACCTGCGTCCGTCGAATACATGTCAAAGGGCTTTTCGACCGAACTAAACGCTTCAAGTCTATCTGAAGTGCTCTATAAATACATTTTACGAATCTAGGGGTTGTCAATTGGGTTATTTTTTTTTTAACTCAGCTTCGCAGGTAAGACAATAATTTCTTTTCAGGCAAACGTAGACACTATAGAACTGCTACTAGCTGCAAATTAAATTTTAAAATATATTTTTTTTTACATATTTTGCCCAAAAATTTCCTTTCGCTCTCATACTTGACTCACACAGAAATAATATAGAATTTTAAGCCAGCAATTTGCCACGAATTTCGTAGCGACAAACTCCGTGGTAAATCCATTTATTGCAACATTGTTGTGTGCTATTTTCAACGCATGCATACGCATTCTGAAGTTGGATTTTCGTAATACCAACTAGACTACAATTACGAAAAGCTACCTCAACACTTGTAGCTTGTAATCCGTGGCAAAAAAGTATGTACGTACGTACTTTTTTGCACTGCTTTTCTACGTATTCACTATTCACCTGTTACTTTTTTGCCGCTTCATCGCTCTCTCGCATGGAGAGCGCAAAGCCGTTGGGGGTTTTTGCACAATGAGTGCAGTCAAGCATTTAAATCAGCTGCTATTTTGTAACGGCTCATTGCTAGTAATACTATTACTATGACGCCAATAAAAGCAAAAACATGAACTTAAATGAAAATCGTAAGCCTTCTTCAGCGGTGAGATAGTTTTTGCTCGCAACTTTTGCATCCTGTTTGTGAAAAGTGCTTTTCACCAAACGAGCATGTAGTAGCAGTTAACACAAATGCACATACACGTATATAGATACCCCTATGATGATTATTCGCTTCCGTAATCCCAGCAGTATCCAGCTGTGCATGCAACCGGTCAGCAGTCAACTCAATGAGTTGCCATGTCCACGTGACCAGTCATACATACGCGTACATTCAAACAAAAAAAATGAGGAAACACCAGCAACAAGCTCCACTAATCTGCAATTCTTACATTTATACAGTTATATGCTCAATACCAGTGACGGAAAATCCATTTACGGCTCGACTTACGTTTTGACAATGTAATTGGCCTCAAGTATACGAACAGCAGGTGGTCACAAGCATTTGTAATGCTTGATTGACCCTGTAAGAAAAATAAATTGCAGGGTAGCAGTTGCGATATTTCATTTGAGACAATCCGAAAATTGAAAAAGTAAAGAAAGTATGCTAAACTACTAGAAATAAAGCCATCCAAGTGCCACTATGAATTATCTCAGTGTCTGCTACCAATTGACAAATTGAACATCTTACATTGTGGGTCAATCTTTTAACATACTAAGTAACAATGTATCCATGCAGACCTATCTTAAGAGATCACTTGAATGCTAAATACTGCACTGCAAGCCCTCATCTTCCTCTTGCATGGTGCTAATATAATTAATTTGTTTGGACGGAAGTCAAGTAGTTTCTATTTCTGATATCACGTTTGTCTTATCCCCTGTCCAAAGAATTCCTTGCTGCGATTGTTTACATAAGTAAGCCAGCACTTTTGAAGTCATTTTCAAACCTGAAAAGGGAGTGGATACATACCCCATCTCGACTCTGTAGTTGATCTTACTTATCTTGACTTATCCGCGTACTAAACTGGTTTGAGGTATTTAACTCAGTATTTATCAACTTTTAGTGCGTGTATATTTCACTGCTTATTGTCTGAGCTCGCATTTCTCACAGGTAGCGCTCTAACTACATTTCCACCGTAGTATTCTCCTTTTGTCCTTTACGTACGCTCATTGACATTTGCTTTTATTTACTTTGTTGCATTTACACTTTTTCTTTTGTTACTTTTTCTTGCCATGCTCAACAGGTTCCGTGAGCTGTGTACGTGGTTTGTCGAACAGAAATGGTTCGACAATGTTGTCCTGCTGTTTATCGCACTCAATTGTATTACATTGGCTATGGAACGACCAAATATACCGCCAACGAGTCACGAACGTTTATTCCTTGCCACAGCCAACAACGTGTTCACAGCCATTTTTACAGTGGAAATGCTCATTAAGGTAAGTCCAGGCTTAATAACAACAACAATAATGTTAATACGAAAAGCGCTCACTAAGAAGCAACAGAAACGGCTGACCGTCACCTACATTAACATATATACAGTTATACTCTTCCTATGTAGCTTCTGCAACCATTCATATCGCATAACCTCAAATTATAAATTTACCGCCGCAGCATTCTACTTTTGTTAAGCCTTACTATCGTATACAGTGCTCGGCTTTAATAATAATAGCGTTAACTTTTTTGGCAACTAACGGTTGTTGTGGCAGGTACGATACTTTACGTGCACAGCGTGTGCGAAAATAACCAAAGAGCTAAGGATTTGCTGCTGCTTACAGCACTTTCCAGCTGTGCTTTGCTCATTGCACACTCGTCTTTGGCATTTGCCACGAGTGCTTTTGATCTTTGTGCCTTGGCTTTTGGGAAAATGCGTCGCCTTTCAAATAGAAACGCTTTGAATATTGGTAGTTTCGGGTAATTGCTTGGCAGTTGGAGCACGCATTGGCTTTGCCAGACGAAGTAGTAGTTAATTAGTCTAATTGTAGTGATGTTGCTTCAAACTGGATGAATTGAGAGGGATTCGTATTGAGTAGCCAGTTTTAAAATGAGTGAGGAAATCGTGCGTGGGGTGAAAATGGGTTAAATATGGGTTAAATATGGGTTGCCACTGAATATGACGGAGCATATAAGGTTGAGCGAAAAATTATCTCATTTTTTTCTTTATTTACGTTCAGAAGCTATTTTACTGGTGAAGCGTCTTACAGATTTAAAGAGCATGCATTTCGGATTCGACATTTACAGTCACTAGATGATAGCTGTAGGAAGCTTGCTTCTATATACGACTTTTGATTTTGGAACTCGAGAACATTAACTTACTTGACTGGAAACGCAAGTGATTTGCTTGACAGAAAAAATAATTTTTTCAGAATTCTATACACTCGTATATATGTATAACCATCTTAGCCATTTAAACAAATTCCGTGCTTAATCTCGCTGGGTTCTGAGATCCACTTCTTCTCGTGACAAAATCTAAGAGATCCTTTTTAACAACGGTAACATAAGCAATCAATTTTATAACTCGGTTCTATTAAAGCCATAGACAACTTACCGATTTAGAACAATTTGAAAACATCTTGAAGGTTGTTCTTCTACGCTCGCATAAATTAAAAAATATTGAATTAAGCAAAAATAATACTCTGCAAACATAGACGAACTTGAAATCATGCGAAACAGAAATTAAAAGCGCAAACGAAATGGTTTCCAGTAGAGTAGAGTCGACTACGAGAATGAACACGACTTTGTAAGCCGTCAAGTATCGAAACTTCGTTAACATTCTGCCAAACTATTTGGAGAATAACATATATAATCAAACCGCCGAGTGCAATTCTTACACGAAAAAGCTACTTATGAAATCTATAAACCACTTGAGAAGTGCTGGTAACTTAAAAAATACTCTACGCATATCGTACGCTACAAAATATTGCTGCTTACGCCTGTCTAGGAAACTAAGCATCGCCTAAAAATTGTAACTCTTATACTATTTTTTTCCACTAACAGCTTTCTCTTGAGGCTTTCAATCACTCTTATACTTGTAGTGCGCACATCAATGGAAACTAGACTGATTTCAATTATAATGCATTTTTCTTTCCTAGGTCGTTTCGACAGGCATGTTTTATGGAACCGATGCATATTTCACATCCGGCTGGAATATTATGGATGGCTCATTGGTTACAATATCAATCATTGATTTATTAATGTCATTGTTTAGCCAATCGAGTTCTAAGATATTTGGGATTTTAAGGGTAAGTAGCGGACCATAACTATTAATTAACGGCATATAAATACATACGCATATATGGTATATAAATGCATAGCTATGATTTAAGCCGGGGTTAAGTAAATGTTTATATACAGTAATGATGTACACATAGCTTGGTGAGCTGAGTGCTTAGCTGATGTTGTAGAAATGTTAATAACGGGGAATTTAGTTGCAAAGGTAGTTAATATAATTTCATAAAAAAAGTATATAGAGTAAAAAAAAAATTGTATTAGAGCTGTTGACTTTAAACGAAGGCGAAAATTATGTACAAAAAATGTGCATGGTTTTAAAAATATCAGAAACTACATAAATAAAAGTTGAACTTTAATCAAACAACATGCCTGGTCCACAAACTTGAAGGCTTTTTAAGCTTACAGGCTTTTTTAAAGATACAAAATCCCCTAAACACACGAATCCAGGTAACAAAAGCTTCTTCTTCATTTTAAGTTTTCAAGTTATAACCTAGAAATTGCTCAGCAAAGACACAAACTGTGCGTCGAAAATGTTTTCGTACAGCCAGCTAATAAAATTTTAAGCAAAAATCAGTTCATAGATGACTTAGGCATGCTATGTTAATAGATCAACTGAAGCGCAGCAATATAAAAGAAAGAAAGGTTTGAGGTTATGGCGGAAGATATAAGCGATACATTTTTGAAAGCAACAAAAAATAAATTCAAAAAATTTTGACAGCGACATATGTGTTTTATTTATTAAAATTGTTGAAATTTTGTATAAATCTGTGTGTAAATTTTGTGTAAAATTATTTTATTTCAAATAGTAGTTTTCTGAATTACATTTTGTTTATGTTTGCTGCACGTTTCGATAATTTATTTTCAAAATTGACTCCATCCAGTAAAATCCTACTTTCACCTTTAACCTTAACCTCTAAACACACTGAGCTTAAATTTTTATGAAAAATAAAATACATTTTACCGCAATGTAGTAAATTTTTTTTTTCAACAAGTTTTTATACATTTTTATTGTAAATGTGAAACGTATATAATTTTTACTTAAAGTAGGTGCGTTCATTGTTATTTTTGTTCATAAAATATATATTTGTATATGCAATGTTTTGGGGGTTTATAGATATTTGTAAAATGATTGCGTTCTATACTTTAAGCAAATCTAAATGTTCCCAAAAAATGTATGCAAATTTTTGCAAAAAAAACTTGACCCTTTCTCACATTTTTTAAACCCTGCGCTTGTTAGTTTGTAGCTGCTAATTAATTACGTAAAAAATTGTTGAATTATTACTAATTTGTAAATAATTTTTTCCTCATACATATATCTCATGGACTTGCAACGATTGGTTATTCCTGCTAACAATATTGTATACATTTCCAATTCCCCACACCCTAATATTATGTTTATTCCAATTAATTCGCAACACTGTCCTAAATCTATTTACATATTAACCATAAATGACTTAACATAATTTCTTAAATTCACCACACTAACATTTATCATCATAAAAATATGATATCAACATTTTTCACCAATCATACGGAATTATGATGAAAAATACCTTAACACAATGGTTGGACATAACTTCTTTATATTCACCACACCATTATTTACACTTACGAAAAAAAAACTTACGAAAAAAAAATTAAAACCGCCTTACCTGCCATCTTTTTTTGGCCAAATGCGGCCTGTCACAAATACGCAAAATTCACCACACCTCTCATCAACCAACACCGCAAATCTACAATCAAAAACACAAATAATTATTTTCCTTACAAATCTGACTAAACTTCATCAAAATGTTCTTCCTTATATTCACCACACACATATTCACTGACATTCAAATTCAAATATAACTCTTAACTGTCAATAAAATACTGAAAATTCGACTTTCCTCTTCACTCCATAATTATTAACCCAAAACTTGCCTAACATTATACTTATATTCACCACACTAATATTCACATCAAACGAATTTGCGACCTAACCTAAACCCCTTAATGGAACCCTACCTGAAACTATTTCCATACGCCTTCCTGCTTCCCAACACTGCACCAATCGCTCGTCCAACACTTTGCCCATTATCTCATTGCAGGTGTTTCGACTACTTCGTTCCCTACGGCCGCTGCGAGTGATCAACCGCGCCCCGGGTCTGAAATTAGTCGTGCAAACGCTCTTATCGTCCCTACGACCCATCGGCAACATCGTGCTGATCTGCTGTACATTTTTCATCATATTCGGCATATTGGGCGTGCAACTCTTCAAGGGCACCTTCTACTACTGCGAGGGCGAGAATATAAAAACGGTACGCACGAAAATGGACTGCTATGAACAAGGGTATGAGTGGAAGAATCGCAAATACAACTTTGATGATCTTGGCAATGCGTTAATGTCATTGTTCGTATTGAGCTCACGTGACGGTTGGGTAAATATCATGTATACCGGTTTGGATGCTGTGGGCGAGGACATGCAACCAATTGTCAATTACAATGAATGGCGTCTACTTTATTTTATTGCATTTATTTTGCTCGTCGGTTTCTTTGTGCTCAACATGTTTGTCGGCGTGGTGGTTGAGAATTTCCATCGTTGTCGTGAGGAGCAGGAGAAGGAGGAGAAAATTCGACGCGCCGCTAAGCGCGCTTTGCAAATGGAAAAGAAACGCAGACGTATGCACGAACCACCTTACTATATAAACTATTCACCGACACGCATGTTCGTTCATAATGTTGTAACATCGAAATACTTCGATTTGGCTATAGCCGCTGTGATCGGTCTCAATGTAGTCACCATGGCGATGGAGTATTATGGTATGCCGGGTGTACTGATATATACGCTGAAGGTTTTCAACTATTTTTTCACGGCTGTCTTCATATTGGAAGCGAGCATGAAAGTGTTGGCGCTTGGCTGGCCGCTGTACCTAAAGGATCGATGGAATCAACTCGACGTGGGAATTGTGTTGTTGTCGGTATTCGGCATTATACTGGAGGACTGGCGTACACAGAAATTTCCAATTAATCCGACGATAATACGCGTAATGCGTGTATTGCGTATTGCGCGTGTGCTGAAACTACTAAAAATGGCTAAGGGTATGCGTGCGCTGCTCGACACCGTGATGCAGGCTTTGCCGCAAGTCGGCAATCTGGGCCTGCTCTTCTTTTTGCTCTTCTTTATTTTCGCCGCCCTTGGCGTGGAATTGTTCGGTCGCCTAGAATGCTCCGAACGTAATCCATGTCAGGGCTTAGGCGAACATGCACATTTCGCCAATTTCGGGATGGCTTTCCTCACATTGTTTCGCGTAGCGACTGGCGACAACTGGAACGGGATCATGAAGGATACACTGCGAGAGGACTGTGATGATGCGGATGATTGCGTGCGCGATTGTTGCGTTAGCCGGGTCATAGCTCCAATATTCTTTGTGATATTCGTTCTAATGGCGCAGTTCGTATTGGTGAATGTCGTCGTGGCTGTACTGATGAAACACCTCGAGGAGAGCCACAAACAGATGGAAGACGAAATGGACATGGAAGTAGAGCTAGAGCGTGAACTTGTGCGCGAGCAGGAGTTTGAGAGCGAACAGAAGCTGTGCCAACAGTTGGAACAGCAGACGCAACCGCCGCCACCAGCACGCCAGCTGAACAAGATCAAATCGTTGCCGAAGAACTTTACCTACAGCACGCCATCGCTGGATAAGAAATTCCCAAGCGTGTTGAGCGGCATTGGCATCGGTGGTGTTAGAGCTGCCGGCATTGCTGGCCGCCGTCAGACCGTGCAATACATCAATCAGCCGAATAGCATTGGTTTGGCCGAACTGGGACGCGGCACACAAATTGGCGCCGGTGTAGGTGCTGCTGTTGGCAGCAGTGTTGCGGCTGGTGGTAGCGGTGGTGTTGGCGCAAGTGGTGCACTACTCGCACCGCAAGCGCTCAATGCGCGTCTTAACGCATCAGCTGCGGAGAACAGCTTCGATACAAAACTCCAACTTCAACCGACCGCCGGTGCACTGGGACGGCGCGGCCGTCGCAGTTCGACCGCGTTCCGAAGTAAACGCGGCCTGCTCGCCAAAGAGCGCTCTCTCGATGAGCAGGCCATACGTCGACGTACGCTCGAATCAAAGCGTATGAGTTGCGACTCGCTGCCATGGGGCGGCGATACCAACGATTATCGGCGTGGCACTATTTTCGAAAGTCTTGAATCGGATGGCGGCGGTAGCCCCTCCTCTACATATGATGTGCGTAGTATACGCAGCGAAGACGTGGCTGCGACAGCAAATGCTACAGCACGCAATAGTGGCGCCTCCGATGCGCTGAGCATTGTGAGCGCCAGCGTGATCAGCGAAAAGATCACAACACCTATAACAACACCCTTATCAACAAGTGTGGCAATGGCTGCATTGCCGAGCGCTGGCGTAACAGCCAGCGCAACGGCGCCACGTCGCGCCTACGGACGTTCACTCTCTACAGACCAAGCCTACGCGTCTAGTGTTGGCGGTTCGAGTAGCGGACGCGGCGGCTTACTGTCCGTGCCGCGTAGCATGCCACCACGCAGCCGTAGTGGCAGCACAAAACAATTATTCAAGCAACAAGCACTCGACGAAGATCCCGATATGGATGAGAATACCCTACTATTGCCCATTGTGGTCGAGAGCAGCTGTGATGGCAATGCGACCAACAGCAGCAATGGCATCACAACTGCCAATGGCAATGGTAATGGCAATATGCACAACACTAATGACAAACTTAACAATAATAGCTGTAGCAGCGCTAATAATCGCATTGCCACCGCCAATGGCAATGGCGCTACAGCTGCGGTCGTGGAACAGCTTGCTTTAAGCAAATCTGACTCGGCCGATATAATGCGCATCATTTCGGAGCGCAGACGCATGGATCAGCGTGACAATAGCGGCAATGAGGATTCAGACTACAAAGAATTGCTGCTGGTGAAGTCACCGCACTCCTCCACTGATGGCTAAATGGAATTAAATACTATAAGCTAGAAGGTAGTGTGCTAGATTAAGTTAATATTTATGTGCTAAGTAAATGGAATTTTAGTAGTTAGCTATATATAGTGGTCCTAGAGAGTAGGTATGCGCAAGAATTGAAATATTTACGTGCTAAGTTGTATATATACCTATAGATATGTACTCTAAGTGCAACATTTGTTGTAAACGACAGTAGTTCGTTTGTAGAAGTCTGCATTTCCAGTGCAAAAATTATACTTGAGAACCAAAACGTGTCGCAAAGGCTTAGATGTGAGTTAGTGAACTTCTTAAACACGCTTTTCGGCCACAAAACAAGAAAGTTTAACCTAAACTTCAATACGAAAATCTCGTGCTTTGTCAGCAACATTAACTCGAACACAGCGTAGTGTGTGACCAGCTTAAGTTTTTTACTTTACTTCTAAATACAACTGAAATTTTCAGAATGTTCGCCTTTAAAACTTTTGAAAACATGCCACTACTGATTTCTCAGAAAGCCGTTAGCCTTTGCGAGAAACAAATCAGTGATTTCAGTTCCACACCAATTATAACTTGATTACGCTATATTATTTCAAATATGTTCAACATGCACAGCATAAATGTAGTAGTTTAAAGCTAAAATTCGCCTTTTTCACTTTCTAAAAAAAAATTTACTTATTTTTCGCTACCGCCCCTTAAACATATACATATTTGTATAAAAAGCAAAACAAAGCAGGTTTTGTTGAATTTAGCAAAATTCAACACCATTCACCATTTGTTATCACTTAGCCGAGAAGTAAACCGGCGCTTCAATTGCTTTTAGTACACTTGAAAAAATATTTCTGCTTTTACAAATATTTTCGACTTAATGCAAATTTCGTGCAATGACCTTATGGATCACTATCGCGCTGAATTTTTCGGTTAATCCTTTACTGCATAGAACTCTGAAGTAATTAAAGTAGGCCTGTGCCAACTTTTAGGGAATTTTCTTAGCTACACTACTAACTGTATTTACTTCTAGCACAAAATTTTTAAAAAATAATTTTTCTGTAATAAAATTTTCAACGAAAAATAGTAAATGAAGAACTTAAAAAAGTAAAGCAAAAAGTAATAAAAAATTGATTTTAAGTAAAATGTGCAAAAAATATGTTTGTATGTATGAACAGATGGCATAAACTTTAAACTGCTGCAGTTGTTAACAAGCAATTTTTGAAATAGAAAACAACAAAAACAATTGTTTCATATTACAGTTATGTAAATGCAACACTGTAAAAGTTGCAAATGTGTCTCTAAAAATCATCAACTCTGTGATTAGCTGTAAAAAAATATTGATTAAAAATCATAGCTCAAAGATTTTGAGTAGAATTAGTATAATAAATATACATATGTAGTTACAAATTAATATTAATTAAGTTCAGTTATATGTATATAAACGTAACTATTAATATAATGCAGGCAATTATTGCAAAATTATATTAGTAGGAGGAATTATATAAAAAGGTATAACGCCGATTGGCGCAAAAGTTGGCAATACTTGAGCGCATAACCTTCCTAAACACAACTAATGGTGCAGATTGTGCAAAGATTGCATAAATTAAATGAAAAAATATGTAAAAATAAAGAAATTAATTAATATGTTTAACAACTAAGTTTAGTTAGCGTTAAAAGAAAATGTAGCGTTAATGAAATGAACAAAAGTCTTGTAAAAACACTTGGCACACAGAGCTGACGCGTTACTATAAAATTTATTTTGAAAACTAGCATAATTTAGCATTAATTATGGTGTAGTACTAAAAACATGAAATATTGTTTGTAAATAAATGCAATATTAGCGATAAGCGATAAACGATTAACGATTAAAGTAAAACGATATGACACACACAACAGTTATGAAGAAGTAAATAATATGAGCAAAAAGTATGTATACTATGAAAACTTTCCTAAAACAAAACTTAAAATAACTTTAAATTTAAGAATAAAAAAAAATTAAAACTTGATAAATATGTACATTATAAAAAGAAATGAAAAAGTTGTAGCGCATTTCTTCTCCCTGAAACGTCTTCCTCATCTTTAAGCAAAAGTGAAATACAAAAAATATATAATATATAGAAATGTATTATTGCCAGGTAGAGCAAATACTATTAAAAATTTAGTAACTGTATAAATAAAATTGTTTGAAAATTAGTGAACTTGTGTAGCATTTACTCATAAGTTGTACTAATATTTGTAAAATAGAACTTGTTATGCGCCAATAAATACAGATTTAGTACTATTTCGTTGAAAACTAAAAATAAAAAATATGTATGTAAATGAAGATTTAGTAATATTTCAATATATAAACTGCAATAGTAAAAACTATAATAATAAAAAAAATCATGGAAAAAAATTATAAAAAAGTACACAAAACATGCTATTGTTATACGAAAATATTTAAATAAACACAGATTTTCAACAAATGACAATCCGAACACACTGCTTTTTATTTTTATTGTTATTGTTTTGTGGTTTGTTTAATCGATATTTATCATACACACTTTTAAACTTTTTTTTCAGAACTCATGTATATATATTTTTTTTTGGAAATCACTTAAATTTTGTTTAAAATATTTTAAGTTGAAAAAAGTACATTTTAATTTAATAGTTGAAATATTTTCTGCAGATACTACACACAAAAGAACAGGAAATTAAATTAAATAATAATGACTGTAGGTAAGGTAATTAAGTTCCAAAAATATTTTTTTTTTGTTAATATTTTTCACACAAAATGTATGTATTTTTTGTATTTATAAAGGACAACAACAACATCGTTTGAAGTTCCAATTAGTGCAATAATAGCGATAACTCAACTAATCGATTTAATAATAATTTTATGTTCAAAGCAGTTCTGTGACAACAAATACTTGATAAATATATAATATAAATTTATGATACATACACGTATGCATGTGAGCATTAGAAATGGAAAAATGTATGTTATGGATTATAACTTATTTTTCAAACTATTGTATTTACATTGAGTGTTTTGTAAAAAAAAAAATCATGACCTTCAAAATCGAATTCATACATATAGGACTTGGAAAGATTATACGCAAAAACGAACTAGAGAACGAAAGACCAGTATTAATACGGTTGAGAGAGCTTAAATATTAGTGGACTCCATAGGTTCCTACTCTTGAGTTCAAACGGTAGCCATACATATCTAAACATTGCTCACTTAAAATAAGAAAATCTTTGAAAATTATTATCAAGCAACCTTGACAAATGTCCAACAATACAAATTAAATATTTTTAAATTATTTTTTACCTGGTATTTCTACAACGCTTTGCCTTTTTCCTTGAGAAATTTAAAATTTTCACCAAATTTTTTTACTAACTACGATTTTTTTTTTTTTTATTTCACTTTTTCTTATTTGCACACACACACACACTATTTTATTTTATTTTTTAATTTTTTTTTTTATTTCATATTTTTTTTAACATCCTTTATTTCATTTATATATATATACATATTTTTATTTTTATTTGATATTTTACCTCTTTTCTTTTACTTCCTATATTTTTAACATTTTCCAAAATGCACACACACTATTTACTTTTTATCACATACAGACACATTTATTTTTATTAACACACCATTTCCGATTTATTATTTTGCATTATTTTTTGCATAAGCGCGCACAATAAAAAAGTTTTAATTGTTATTATATTTTTATTTGTTCAAATTTCAGCAAATGCTTTATGTTTAAACCTGCACAAACATGATATGCTTTTTACCCGTTAATTTCCCTGCATTTTCTTTTTGAGTTATAAAAACTGTTAATTTACTTCACCATCACTTTTACCAATAATTTATGCTTTATTTTACAGTATTTTGTTATTTTTAGATATTTTTCGTCTTTTTCAATTAAAATAGTTTAAATGTAACCAAATGTTCTCCAAGCTCCGTTTTCAGCACACACACACAATAACACGCGCAATCACGACTTGCTACGGCAACACACTGAAAGAAATTGAGACAAAAATTGAAAATGTAAAGCTGTTACAATTTTTTTAATTATATTATATTCTTTATAAAAATATAAACAAATGTTGTATTATCATTGCATAAATTCACTGGAAGTAATGAGAAAAAAGAAAACGATAGAAGTCCATGTCAGTACAGGTGGACTTGTACCGTTCTTTCTTCTCACTGCTGCCAGCACATAAACTGAAATATTTAATTAAGCTAATTTAAGTAGTTAAGGTATGCTATAAGTTTTATAATAGCGAATTTGTGCATAACACACTAACAAACAAACATACTTATAAAGAGTTACGTGTTACTGTAGATATTCATAAATTGTACACAGTCTAAAAGGGTATATAAAATAAGAAAATAATAGCAGGAAATTTTAACACAAAAATCTAGCGAATTTTCTGCATATGTATATTAAAGAGTGTATGTATGTATTGAACCTTTATATACAACTTACTATTGCCTTTTACTGAAAACTTTTTAAAACATGTAGCATAGCATGTGTTTAACACACTAAACAAAATCTAACGGAAAGAAATATTACTAACAAAATACTTTTTACAGCAAGTTTGTAAAATTTAAAAAATTAACTTTATAAAAAAAAAAAAATATTGTAGCGAAATTATAAAAAACAATTATATACATATATATATATATGGTATACAACTGTGCAACTTACACAAATATATTGTCTATATAGTTATAGCGTACTATTCAACGAATTAGAACTTGTAAATTTATTAAAACTATGAGAGAAACAATTTTCAAAATTATAGAATTGTTGCAACTTCTAGTAAAATTGTGAACAAAATTTACGACTATAAATAACTGACAATTTCATGTTTTTATGGTTTTCTCTCAAAAACACACCAAATTTAAACCAAAAATTCAAACTTTCTACAAACTAAAAAAAGAACTCAAATTTTTTATTAAAAATATTCAAAAATTGTTTTTACACATATTAACATATTAAAATTTTTTTTTAAATTTTTCAAGAATATAAAACAAAAATTTTAAAGCTAAAAATGTTTATATATTTTACATATTCAATTTTCAACACAAAAACTACGCAATTTTTATATCACTCATACGCACCTAGTCTCACTTTCTCACATATAAACATACAAACACAAATTTTAAGCTGTGACTGCGCACGTTGATCGTGTTACAAAACCTTTTTAGTATGAAAAATTTATAGTAAAACTAAATAAAAATAATTGCAAATGAGAGCAACATAATTTCTTCTGTGCCTTTCTACTCAAAATAAAAATTGAAAAAAAAACACTCTCTACTCTATTACTATATACACTGTGAAAAATACACACATTAACATTTCGAACTCAGCAAAAAAAATTACCTTAAGTGACTTGCTCTCGCGTCACACTTCATATTCACTTCGTACTATATTTTGTTAAACGAAAACGAAAAAAGTAAATAAAATAAAAATTAGCGAAAGTAGTTTAAAAAAATATATTGCAAACAGTTATGCAAACTAAAATTAAAAATTTTGGTTAAAAAAAATATTGAGAACACCATATAAGCAGATTTAAGAAACATATTTATTAAGCATAAAATACAACAACAGCTAAGAAATATGTAGAAATTATATAATATATAATATTATTATATTATATAAATATGTATGACACATAGAAATTAAAAAATAATTATTTTCAAATTTTTATTATCGCTGTTATGCGATAAAATTTATCGACAACTAATTTTAGTTGAATTTGATTTTTTTTTTGTTTGAGGTTATAAATTAAAATTGCTTTTAAAATTTGTATTCAGTGAAATTTGCAGTCAACTATTTTTATTTGGTTCTAAATATTTTGTGTTTATACATTTTTTATTACTCCTTATTTTTTCTTTTCTTATTTTTTAATTATTTTGTTTGTACTACAACCACGCATTTTATTTAAAAAAAATATATATATTTAAAAAAAAAAAAAAATATTTTTTAAATATGTATTTTTATTTATAAAAAAATTTCTCACTAAAATAAATTTTGTAAAAAAAATAAAAATAAAAAATTTAAGAACAGTTAAAAGAATTAAATTAAAATTAGCATGAGTTAGAATTGGAAATTCAAAGCTTATTAGAAAAAAAAATATCAGTAACAACGCTAACAAATACCGAAACAATAGATTAGAGATTTTGAAAATTTAATTGCTTGAAAAGAGTAATTTTACATTGCAGTAACATTGCAAAATATGCATATAAGTTGATGAATTTTAAAAAATAGCAAACATTAGCATATTACAGTAAAAATGTGTTAAATTGAACTAACAAAGAATTAGCGAAATTATATGAAAAACAACAGTTAAATAGCAGTAGATAAAAAGCAAAGCAAACTAACAGAAACTTTTGAATATTACGTTGCAAATGTTACAAAAATATTTATATATAAAATGATTTTAATATAAAACAAGAAAAAAATAAGCAAATGCAAGCGAAATAAAACAATAAATTGACAACAACAATACAATGAATTGAACACACTTTCACTGACAAGTATTTCGAATGCATTTAAGAAGTAAAAAAAATTATTAAAAATATAAATATAAATAAAAATAAAAATAAAACTTTTACGCGTTGCCAATTAACGCAAATAATATTTAAAAAAAACAATATTGATAAAACGATTTCAGTATGAAAAGTTACTAACAAAAGAGCAGTTTAAAAAAAATATTAAAAAAAAAACTACAGTATGGCAAGTGCAAAGCCAAAATTGTCTGCGTTTGGGTTGCAAAAATTCAAAAGTAAATAAATTTATTTACGCAATTTTACTTTTAACGAATTTTCACTGTATTTCCACTTAAACTTAAATAAGTGAAAAAGTAAGCTGCTAACCAATTGGCAACGTCAATCTTACTGCTCATAAATAATTGCAAGCAAAAAATGTAAACACACACAAATGTTAAATATGTTCAACAATTATGAAAAATACAGAAAAGAACGTTAAAAAATACAGCAACAAAAATTGTATATGCAATATATAAAAATATATTTGTTAAAAATAGCATAACGCATTGGTAAAAAGAAATAAACTTGAGAAAACAAAAATTAAAAGCAAACTAAAAATATATGCTAAGGCCTAAACTATATAAATACAAAGTACATTTACAAACATATATACAATTAGTAACAATTTAATACAGCAGTGTGCAAGTGTAACCTTAATTATAATTAACATTAACAAAATGTCAACAAAAAAATATTTATTTAGTTTTCAGTGCGAAAAATAGTGGTGAAAAAAATTATAATGAGTGAATTATTAATAAAAATTTAAAAAGAAAAATAAAAAATGCTGTTTTCTTTTAGGCACAGTTTTTAAAAATATGTAAAAAAAAAAAAAAGTTTTGCATTTTGTTTTTTAATTTTTTATTTATTTAAGTGCAATTATACACAATTATAACTTTCAGAAAATCACGCAGTAAATTTTTATTAATTAATATAAATTATTTATGTATTCTAAACTAATTAAATAACAAAACGTCAATAAAATTCCGTCTTAGTCCCAGATTCTTCACTAAAAATCATTTAAAACTGATATTCACTGGCTTTCATGGATCATTGCGGCAAATAATCGATACACGCCGATCCTTTTTCACATGTTGTCCTTGAAAATGTGACACATCGTTGCCCAGTATTTCATGCGTAAAGTTGTAGCGTGAGGTGTGACTGTTATTTAAAAGAAAATAATATTAAAATTATTCAACAGCCGCTTTAATGCACGCACGCACCTCATTATGTACAAAGAACGACGACGCAATAGCACATCAACATAGAAATTGTTCTCCAAAGTGGTTTTTGGACGATTCCGATACACATCATCCGACTCTGCGGCACTTTGTGCAGCTGTGCTGTCATTATGCGCCGGTGCTATAGACGCTTCCACAGCTTTACCTTGCAGGTATTTACGTTCATCAACGCGCACCAAACGCATTACGCTATCACTTAGTAAACTAATGCCGGCTATGGTGTTGCCGCAGTACTAAATAAAATGCGAGTAAAGTTAACAGTTAACTAAAGAAAATGCATATTGCATAACTCAATCCACAACTCATACCCTCGTGCTGTCTACATGTGGTTTGATGACGCCCTCTGCCGCTAAATCCAGTATGTGTACATAAGGCATAATCGCACCATCGAAGGCAATTTGACGCACACCATCGAGTACTGCGCGGTTGTGTGGATACCATTGCTTGCGCTCCGTTTCGCGGAAGCCATGTATAGCCTGTGCGAGTAAATGCATTTTAGTTAAAGCTTATTTTTTCTGTTTTACTGCACATTACATCGTCCCAGTGATCATACTCGTAATGCAGTCGCTTCATATAAGGCTCGATTTCTTCCAGCAATTTGGTTTCTTCTTCCACGGTTATGAAATCTGTATGCAAACGCAAATCTTTGATGAAAAGCTGTTGCTCCTCTGTTGGCCATTGTCCATGAAATTCAAAATGCGTCAAGACATCTATGTGTGTAACCGAATTATAGTTGCACTTGTTGAATTTAACTACGTGATTATACTCATGTAATCATTACTTGCCTTTGGTTGAGGTTTTATTTTGCTCCAGTACGGGCACTAACGAACGGTGTAAACATTTTGCGCTGCTTATTTGTCTAATTTGTATAGCTCTGTTGTTGTTCAAACAAAGCAAAATATATTTTTTACACTTCTGCAGTTGACGCAAATTCATTTTATCTATTTTAACTCTAATTTCAGCAAATTTAACTATTTGCACTATTTTATGATTTCGCACAGTTTTGAAAGCATTGCTGTTATCAGCTGGTTAAGGTCTGATAAGACGCTACAGGGTTGTCAAACACCGCATATTATCATTCTTAGAAAATTATTTTCGCATAAAACTCAAAATTCAAACAAATAATCGTACATATTTACACATTTGCAAATTTTACTATTATTTTATTTTTTTTTTTCGGTTAAAAGCAGTCCGTCCTAGTTTGTTGTCAAAGATTTAATTTTTGACAAAATTTTTAATTAACTGAATAATATTTCATTTACTGAACCTGGCATCTCTACTAGTCGCCGGCAACAAAACAGTACTCTCTGTTTTTGTTATTCCTCTCTGTTATTGTTTTGGCTGTCACAACTGTCTATTTAGATATCAGCTGTTTCAAGTTGGCTGCTATTTTTAGTAATCGAAACGAAAAAATATACAAGTATTTTCGATAAGCAATTAAAACATATTTGCACTTTTCTACAGTTCTAAAGCAAGAATAAACAAAAATAAGTTGTTGCGATTTTATAAAAATTAATGAAGTGACAAAAAGTTAACGTGAAACATCAACTGCAAATGTCAGCTCTTTTTTTGCGTCGTATAAATTAAAAAGAAAACCATCGAATACCAATCCCAAAGCATACCCCAACATGCTACATTTACGCACAGGCAACAGCCTAGCCGTTAAAATACCCGAATGTTGGCGTTTCCAGCAGCTGCTGGCTACACGGTCGCCACTCGCCACTGCAGTATGCACGCTCCAACAGCAAGCCGACTCAGGCGAACCCGCGCAAGCAAATGTGCTGCGAAAGCGTAAATTCAAGCCACACGAGCCGGATAGTGTTGCAACCATGATCAAGCTGCCCGAACAGGCGCGTGTCGTTATATGTGGCGGCGGCACAGTCGGTGCATCGCTTGCCTACCACCTGGCGTTACAGGGCTGGGGTAAAGACACCCTACTCATTGAACAAGATAAAGTGGGTGGGGGCAATCCATGGGCCGCTAGCGGTTTGGCTGGTCGCTTCGAACCTAGCTACACGGAATTAAAGCTGGCCGAATACTCAATTGACTTGATTAAATCGCTAACGGAACAAGGACTCTCCACGGGTTGGCAGCCAGTCGGCAGCTTGAATTTGGCACGCACTTTCGATCGTATGACCGCTTTCCATCGCATGCGCTCGCAAGGCCGTGCATGGGGCATCAATTGTGAGATATTAACACCGGAACAATGTCAGGAGCGCTGTCCGTTAATTAAGACAAGCGATCTAGCAGGTGGATTGTGGATACCCGAAGATGGTGTATGTGATCCACATCAAGTTTGTCAATCCTTCGCTGAGGAGGCACAACGTTTGGGCGTGCAAGTGGTGGAGCAATGTGCGGTACTGAAGATTAACAGTGCGCACAGTAAAGTGAGTCGCATCGAAACTACGGCCGGCGATATATTGTGTGACTTCTTTGTCAATTGTACCGGTTTTTGGGCGCGCGGTGTGGGTACGCTATCGACGCCGAAAGTGAAAGTGCCGCTGAAAGCAGTGGAACATCACTACTTACATACGAAACCGATTGAGGGACTCGATCCCATGACACCGTTCGTGCGCGACTACGACGGTGGTGTGTACTTCCGCGAGCGCAATGGGCGCATACTGGCAGGTGAGTGTTGTAAAATAATAAATATTCACTGCAATATACATTATAATTTAACTTAAATTTAGGCGGTTTTGAGCGCGAAGCGAAAATGCTCTACGAAGACGGCATCATACCACTGTCACAGAAGGAACGCGAGCTGCCACCCGACTGGGATCACTTTCACAGCATGCTCGACGAGCTGCTGCGTCGTGTGCCAATGCTGAAGTCATCCCTACTCGATCGCCTAACCAACTCGCTGGAATCGTTTTCGCCCGATTGCAAATGGATTTTGGGTGAAGCGCCCGAAATACAAAACTACTACGTGTCGGCGGGCATGAAAACGATAGGCGTTTCGGCAGCAGGCGGCATTGGACGTGCACTCGCCGATTTAATAACGAAGGGCAATACGTTCGTGGATCTACATATATTGGATATCAGTCGATTTTTGGGACTGCATAATAATCGTAAATTTCTACGTGATCGCTGCAAGGAGGTGCCGGGCAAGCACTTCGAAATCAATTATCCATTTCACGAATTCAAAACGGGACGCAATCTGCGCATGTCGCCTATATACCCGGCGCTTAAGGAAGCGGGCGCCGTGTTTGGTCAAACAATGGGCTATGAGCGCCCGAACTATTTCGATCCGAATGACAAGAAGGGTGAGCGCGCATGCGTGAAGTATTCAGAGAAAAAAAAAAATAAATTTAAAAAAATTTTATTAATTTTTTTTTTTGCAGACGAATTTGGCATAACACGCTTTCGCACCGCCGAAACGACTACCTTCGGCAAACCGCCATGGTTCGATCATGTCGCCAACGAGTACAATGCCTGCCGCGAGCGTATCGGCATCGCCGACTATAGTTCGTTCACCAAATATGATCTATGGTCGAAGGGACACGAAGTTGTCGATTTATTGCAATATCTCTGTTCCAATGATGTCGATGTGCCGGTGGGTGCAATTATACACACGGGCATGCAGAACCATTTGGGTGGCTATGAGAATGACTGCTCAATAGCGCGTCTCTCGGAGCGACAGTGAGTACTGTTAGTGGCAGTAAGTGGGCACAATAGGCCATAGTACGCTGTTCATAGCTAATTTTTAAACCAATTAGTAGTAGCAACTGGCAGAACGTGCAAAATATTTGTTTTTTTTTTCAATTTCTTTTAGCTATATGATGATAGCGCCAACGGTGCAGCAGACGCGCTCCATCACCTGGATACGCAAACACATGCCAAATCATTTGCGTTCCGGCGTAAATGTGGCCGATGTGACATCGATGTACACAGCAATTTGCATATTGGGCCCATATACACGCATTTTGCTCTCCGAATTGACTGATACAGACTTGACACCAAAGAACTTCCCATTTTTCACCTATAAAGTGAGTACAGTGTGGTATTTAAAGTGTATGGTTTTTAATTTTTTACATATTTTAAACGCAGGAACTCGATGTTGGCTTAGCTAACGGTATACGCGTGCTAAACATAACACACACCGGCGAATTAGGTTATGTTTTGTATATACCCAATGAATTTGCGCTTCATGTGTATACGCGCCTGTATCAAGCTGGCCAGAAATTCGGCATACATCATGCGGGTAAGCAAAAATTCTACTTAAATTTATTAATGTCAAACTAATACATTGCTGCTAGGCTACTATGCCACACGCACATTGCGCATTGAGAAATTCTACGCATTCTGGGGTCAAGATTTGGACACGTTTACCACACCGCTGGAGTGCGGACGCAGCTGGCGCGTCAAATTAAATGTTTGTATTGAAATTTGTGTTTTAAACTTTCGTATAATCCAGCAATTTGTTGTCCACACAGAAACCCATAAATTTCATCGGACGCGACGCGCTACTCAAGCAACGTGAAGAAGGTGTCAAACGCATGTACGTGCAGCTGCTACTGAACGATCACGATCACGAGATCGATTTATGGTGCTGGGGTGGTGAACCGATCTATCGCGACGGCAAGTATGTTGGCATGACCACAACCACTGGCTATGGCTTCACATTCAAGAAACAAGTTTGTCTCGGTTTTGTGCGCAATTTCGCCGAAGATGGCAGCGAGCTGCCAGTTACTAATGAATATATACTTTCTGGCCACTATGAGGTGGAAGTGGCGGGCATGCGTTTCGAGGCGAAGGTCAATTTGCATTCACCCAATTTGCCAACGAAATTCCCCGACAAGGAGCGTGAGGCGTATCATGCGACACGCGACAAGCTAGGTCAGGCCGATTTGCTATCCTACGAGACAAAGTATTGAACAGTGGGTTTATACACGCGCTGGGTCACTGCGCCTTTAGACTTGCAGTTTGGATATTAATTTTTTGCACTGAATTTTTTTTTGTTTTACTGATTTCATTGCTTTTTTTTTTGTGTTGACACACTTATTATATATTGATTTAACGGTAAATGTTAAATTTTTGTTGTTATTAGCTGACTTAGGCGCCTTTAATAATATTATGCGCGCAATTTAGTTTGTTTAGCTTGTTATCACGCTTATTTTATTAATGTGCATAGTATGTTATTAACATATGTATATATTTATGCTTTGTAAAAATATTGAACTATTTGTTGCGTAATAACATTGATATTTGGAAATCTCACACACACTACGTGTATGTTTAAAAAACTGAATGCAACGAACCAGCTACATACAAGCATACATATGTATGCATATATGTCTTATTTAATAAAGTTTGTGCAGCTCAAGCATTATTGGTATCAAAAAAGGCTGAAAAAACATTGCATTTATCAAAAAAAAATTCATTTGTAAAAATTTTTGTAGCTAAAAAGTAAATTGTAAAAACTTTTTTACAAAAAATTAATTTGTAAAAATTTTTATAAAAAAAAAGTAAAAATCAGCTCAAAAACATTTAAATCAATTATAATAGTACAGTGCCATTAATTGAAAAAATATTACAGAATGCGCATAAAAGTCAACAATATATGTATATATGTATATCAAAAATGTCTTTTGTTGTTGTAGAAACACACAACAATGTGAGGAAAAGTTGCTGCAAAAACGAAAATATAAACAAAATTGTATAAAAAAATATTTATGCCAATTAAACATATACTTAAAAATGTCGAATAACTTAGCTGAGCCAAGCAATTAGCATTTGTAAAAATTTGGTTTACAAAAAAAATTAACATAAAAATGTTATTATCACTTAACTATATGAAAATCCTTCCCTAGTTAATATATATTAATGCATTATGATTATTAAATTATAAAATTTATATAATTTGTTCCTAATCTCACATATTTGCTCATATACAAATGTGAAAATAAATATAAAAGTGTTTCTACAAAAGTAAGCGCAGTTTTTTGATTTATAAATAAGAGTTACTGTAAATTTTAATTTTATTTGCCTGAAAAGGCTAATTACTTATAGGCATTTGCAAATACTTATGAGCAATAAGACGAGCACGAAAAATGTTGCATAGCTCTTATAGTCGTTAAACTATCTTTGTTATTGTATAAATATGTAAATATTTAAGGTCACAAAATGCCTGGGAAAAAGTTAGGTTAATCAATTGCAGCTTAGTCAGGCATACTTATGTGCATGCAGAAATGTAATAGCAGTTAATATTTTATGTATAACAGCACCACTACACATTTGTTTATGTAACTTGTTTATATGAAATCGCAGCATACAGCGTTTACACAAATATCCTTGTGCCACAAGTGCCCCTGTCCTATTTCGATGTTTCACTGCAGCTGTGTTACACGCAGCAACAGCAGTGCATGCACCAAATATTGGTATACTAACAAGATATAGTAAACACAACAACAACTTTG